ATAAATAAATAAATAAATAGCGGCGCCCGCTCGTGAAGAGTCGGCCACCCCACCACCTGGCGACCACTACGCCCAACTTCATTTCTAATGGTTGCCTGATGGTGCGGTTGTTCTGCTACTAACTCTCTCCACTTCGAATGGTGAGAGTGAGGTGATAAGGGAAAACAGCTGATACCAACAAGTGAGAACTCGTGCGGCCGCGCCTTCTCTTCCCTTAGGCACGTACAACCTCAGCTCGCGTGGGGTTCTGTATAGGCATATCCGGTGGTTTTTTTGCTTTTCTCTTCACTAATGAACTACTTGCTACCTTGTGTCACTGTCTGAGTCCCATAACTCATCAAATTGAACGCGGGGGCTGCCTTCAAGTATTAATGTAGCTGGAAGAGATCACGTGGCAAATTTCCGGCCTACACCGAGCTGGAAGAGTTCGGTCAACATCTGGCTCGAAATTTGAGGAGTGTAGCAGTAAAGCGTAAACAGTGGCAGTTTTTGTTTTATATTGATGGCATGATTTCGAACAAGTAAAGTATTAAAGGGTGTGAGAGTTAAATTCGGTGAAGTTGTGAAGATGTCAATTGCAGATCAAGCGCTTGTCGAGCTGTGTGTTAACGAATGCCTGATGCTGCTTTCATCGGTGTCACGAATGTACTACACGTCTCGATCAAGTAACCGTCTCCTTCCTTCTGACCTCTGTGTGCAATCTGACGTCACAATTCGTGGATTATCCGCTCTATTGCTTCTCATTAGAACATCAAAGCAATCCTACACTGCCATGCTGGCTTGAAGAGCTGCTGAAGGTGCGATAGCGTGATGTTATATGTTCATTATGTGCCCTTCCTAAGCCACACGTGTTTAGGTCGTGGACGCTGAAACTTGGGTGCAACAAATGTCGTCTACATCACAGGTTCGTTTGAATAAATCCACTGCGGATCGCGTGCTGCACATAGCGCAGCGTGCGACAGCATGGAAAAGAATCTTCTTATAAAACTTGCCAAGATTTTTCCTGTTCAAAATTATTACTGCATTTTCGGGCACTATTCACGGTTACTTCGAGAACTCAATTTTTCGCTGAATCTTTGCTCAC